CTCATTTTTGTTTTTGACATTTGCTCGATAGAAATTTTCTATGACACCTTCTATCGTGGATCTTTTTACGGCGCCTATGACTCATTTAAAAGGAGGAAAGTCAAGGCCACGTTGCAGGCTCGCCTTTCTCCATTGGATTTGAACTCGCACATCTAGAGAAAGTCTGCGTTGTGCACGCTGGCTTTCCTTTTTTATGAGTCATAGGTAAAGAAGAGTCATATAATAAAAAAGATCCACGATGGTAGAAAATTTCAGTCAGTCCCATCCTTGCAAGTTGACAAGTTACTCCACAGTGGAGTCTCTTCTGTTTAACATATTTCTACCTTTTTTAACCCCACGAGTCCAAGTCGACATTTTTTGTCGAAATCCGGTTTTAATCAGCTGTACTGATCTATCTGTGATCCGGATCGAGCTGAAAAATTTAATGTGTATTCACACTGGTATTAAGCACCGCTGACCAAAAAAAGAGCGCGCTAATCCCTTTTGGTGGCGCTTGGTACCGGATGTATCACTTTCTGCAACAAGGTGAAAGTACGTGCAATAACCTTCCGACAATTATTTCGGATAAAAGAATCGGATTTATTTTGTTCAAAAAGGTACATATAGGTTTTCAAATTCGTAGAATTCAAATAAGATATTTACAATTAGATAAAATGGAGAAAAGCTAGCCTGGGCTAGGAATCGAAGTGATGACTTCAAGTGGTAAAAGTTTTAAAAAGGCAGACAGAACAAGTTTAACATAAACTGTAAATCTACAGAATATAAATGCGAGGTGAACTACTGGAAATTCCAGTTTCACTTGGCACAATTCTCCTTGTCATCATGGATTGATGGACAGTTTGTGATAGTAAGGACCGGTAATACAGGCAGCACAAACGGAAGCATTTTATACATCATACAGACCCAATTAATCGTGTTCTACTCATGCTAGAGAAAAACAAAGACCACCATTTGAAAGAGCACGTTTCAATTAGTATAAGTACTAATTTTCAATAAGTTATCTCATCGGGAAGGCCATTTAGACAAAAAATGTCGACTTAGACTCGTGGGGTTACGCCCTCCAATTGGACTCGTGGGGTTAAGAATTCTGAAAAAAGGGTAAAACCTGAAAATGGCAACAAGGGCAACAAAGGCAACATTGGCAACAAAGACGACATGTTGCCCTTGGGTTGTAAGCGGTAATGTGGGTATTTATACCAACGTTCAGTGATTTCTCGAACGAGGGTATTAATACCCACGTTCGGTTAAATGTCCGAATGCGGGTATAAATACCGACGTTCAATAAATGAAATTTTGTTTGAACGGTGGTATATCAAACAACTTGCTCTAGAAACATAACGTAAAACCTCAAAAAGACAAGTCCAGCGTGGGGGTCCAGGGTGTAGGACAGCCCGGTCAGCAGCCGAAGCTGGTTCCTCAGTCGGAGACAGTATGAAGTCTTGAAGGATTCTCCAAAAATTTTCAAGTTAGAGCCATAAAATGAACCTTTTTGTACGTCCGCAAATCGGTTTGTTTCCCGCCTTCATCGAAACATATGAGGCTCTAGAACAGAACTGTTTTCAAAAAGCCTGGAAAATACCCACGTTCGCCAGTAAGTGTGAACGTGGGTATTGAATACCCATGTTCGGGGGAACAGTGAACGCGGGTATAATACCCACATGACCGCATACCACCTGCCCTTGTTTCCATTTTCAGGTTTTGAGCACTTGCGCCAATTAAGAACTGTCAGTTGTTGTCGTTCTTAAAAGCGCGATTCTAGAATTGTTTTTAATGAATTCTCTTGCGTTCTTCATTCGCTCAGTCAGAATTTCCGATTCAGGAAACACAGCATAGCCGAGCTCTCAACGCACCAATTTCTGTCTGATGTACGTTACATACAGTATGTATTTTGCTCCAAAAAATAAGTTCCCATAAACGAGATTTGATCTGTCGACTTTGATGGGCAATGAATATCAATTCCAAGCGAAGTGAGAACTAATAATACAGATAACCTCACTGATTCACGATTTTTACGGGTGGCAACAACGATGAATATAAAATTTTGATTGGAGAAAGAATCAGCGATGCTAAGCCTGATGCGGGCCTGATGATCTGGTAAAGAACTCATTTTTGCAGGAGACCAACTTTCTCTACTCTCCCGCCTCAATCTCTAGCAAGCGTTGTTATTCTTTTTGAAGGGGTGTTGCCCTTGTTGCCCATGTTGCCATTTTCAGGTTTTTTGGAAAAAAGCTTTTGGTTGAAAACGTTAGACACAATAAACTAAGTGACACTCATTAACATACCTCACCCCCAAGTTTCGCGCATTCCTTGGTACATTTGCCGTAATTTACTCTTCCTGATTTGTTCAAAACCCCCCAAATTTACGCCGCTTAACTTTTCCGCGCGCCTCAAAATTTCTTCTCCTAACTTTTCTGCGTGCTTCCAAATTTGCGCTCGCGGCGCTGGTCGGCTTAGTCGGTTAACTTTCTGAGTGCGCAAAAGACTTGTTTTGCCCGCTCCGGGCAAAGAATGGATGATCTTTTATATAAGGCCTTTAAGCTCTATCTCATGTTATCTTTGATAAAAATATTGTTTATTGTTACAGTGAAGTTTCTAAATATTTAATTGACCGTTATGCTAGTACGATAGATGAAAACGACTTCTGTGGAGCAACATCCTGGAAACGTAAACTTGGGCGAAATACCACGAATTGCGCGGAAATTTAGGGAGGGGGTATGTTATTTAATATTTCTCAAATTTTCCTCTTTTAAAAGACATAGACGATACCGCAAGTGACTCATACAATGTTGATGGATCAGAAATACAGCAAGAACTTATTCGGCATGTGCCGGATTTTGTTTGGAATGAGGTTTAATATTATTAGTCTTTAAAAGTTATAAATTATATAATTTATAATTATTTTGGTATTTATTACATTTTTCTTCCGAATATAACTTTTGAATTGTCCTATGGCTCATCAGCAAGGGTCTTCCTACGGCTCAATTCCGGAAAATGAGGTTTTTAAGTTTAAGTAAAACTATTTCAGTCATTTTTAAAATTTTTTAAGAAGGTAAATCGTAGAAAAATACAAAAATTTTATTCAAAAGTGTATACAACCTTCAATCTTATCTTTCTCAAAGAAAAAGTAAGATTTTTAATAAGAAAAACGTCATATCTGGCAAAAAAACAGAAAATTTAAAAATAAGGCGCAGAAAATGTCCAAAAATTTGATACGGGCACTTTTGAAAAGTGCCCAAGAAAACCCCTTATAATAGCAAAATTGTCCAAAAATTTGATGTCCGAAAATTCCATTAAAAACTGTACTAGAGCAGTGTTTTTATTATTAGACCAAGAAAGAATAATAATTTATCGCAGATAGGATTGCAGGATATATATATATATAAGCAAATGTGGTAGCGCTGTGTGGCGGCGCCTCAAAGACCGCATTTACCCATTTCGGGCAGCAATCATGCATAAGTTTGTTAAAAACAGAATACCGATGAAAGTAGGGGATTGCCCTGGACTCGAGCCCGAATAAGCGATACCATGTGTGCGTGTTTCGCTTTTTCATTAAGCGAAGGACCACGCGGAGCCTCCGCGGCGAAGGAACCCGCCAGCTGGAGAAATTCCCTTTTTCCGAAAAGAAAATCTTCTCACTGAACTCTCGCATCGATATGCAATAAACTTCACATCAAAAATATTAATATTTTTTTAATTTTATTCATAATGAAAATTTTTCTAAGAATGATCAATTCAGCCTTTTCCCAGCCTTTGTCAAGCCCCTTAAATTTTAATCGCTTTTCTGCCATCAAAATTAAAAAAAAAATTTATATTCGATGAATGAAAATGAGATTGTTGGGCCAAATCGTGACCCTTATGTTCCTTACGTTTCTATTATTTATTTTTTTATACTTGAAAATTTTTTCTCTTAACATTTTTGACGATTTTCGATAAGGATTTCTGAGTGAAATTTTTACCCCCTTTTTTATTGGCTCATTCGAAAGAGCGTAAAAAGTTACGCTAGAAAAACCGAAAAAATCTTGAAAATTTCGAAATAATGACGTCATCGCACGTGATTGAAGTCCCAAAAGTACCGAATCGCTCCTACGCCCGCATTTCCACGTGCTCTGAGCTAGAGGGGCATGCGATACATGAAAATGATCGTCTCCTCGAGCTCTAGGTCAGCATCTACTTTTCAACCCCTTTCATCCCTTTTTTCAACCCTTTTCTTTCGAAATTGAAATTTTTCAATAAAATCATCGCCTTATGGTAGTTTTTGGCGTAGATTAAGAAAATGACATCAAAAACTCTTTTTAATCCCTTTTTTATCGCTTTTTCAACCTTTTTTTACCGCAGATAAAGAAAATTTCAAATTTATGAAAAGTTAAGGCCGCCGCAATTTAATCATATGTCCTTCTGTTTTTAACCTTCTTTTTCTTTTTAAATCCTTTTTTTAACCTTTGTCAACCTTTTAACCTTTGTTTAACCCTCTGCGTGACGATCAAAACTACCCCTATGCGTGACGCGGGTGCATTCAGTGCACCCGGCCCATCTAGAACAATTTTTTGCTCTTTTTTGCCATTTTTCGACGAAAAACAGCCCAAATTCGCTGTTGTTATTGTCTCCGAGACCGGAATACCCCCTTCTCCGGCGGCGAAAGGGGCTCGAAGTTACGTAACTTGCATCAAAATAGCTGTTCTCGAGACGAAAAATAGCAAAATTACGACATTTTTACGTTTTTAGCTTACTAAATAAGATTTTTTCAAAATGTTACGAAGCAGGTTGGACGTGTTTTTTGACGTAGATTCTTATTCTTTTTAAATTTTTGAATTCAGGCGAAAATTGAGAGAGAAATTGACAGAAAACCTTGAGCGGGTGCACTGAGTGCACCCGCGTCACGCATAGGGTTAATTGCACAAAATTATAAAATTGCGCAAATTATAAAATTGCGCAAAATTACAGACTTGCGCAAAGTTTTCAATTGCGCAAATTTATCCTCGTAATGATGACTTGTATTTATTCTATTCGTCGTAGGAGAACTCTGCAGAGTTAGCAACAAGTTTATATGATGTACAGTTTGCGCAAAAATCAGTGTCATCGAACAAGCAGCAAAGATTGGGGCAAACGTTGTGGCTGATGGAAAATTCGATGAAATCACGGCTTCTTTTTTGTATCTCTATGCATTTGACCATTCTGATCGAAGCCATACTCGTTTGTATAGCATTTCCTGCGTTGTCTTTCTTTTGGAGCTTGGTCATCTTGTTAAAAACGCCGTCGTGGATGCGCAAAATCTGCAGGTCAGTTTGCTTCGGATCGTGCGCAAAATTGATGAAAATCCCATCGTCCTTGTCTTTGTCCTTCATCTTCTCGTTTAGTTGGAGAACATAGTCGCTCAGTTCGACAGACGGAATGCAAAGCCCGTTCATCTCATCGGCGCGCATTGCGATTTTAGCCCGCCCGCCAACGGCGTCTATTGTAGATTTGCCGTGGCGGGCTTGCTTGAAGACTTTAGTGATGGGCATTCCCCAGCCTTCGACATCACTGATGTCAGAGAGAACTCTCTGAGATTTATAGTCCTAAAGAAATTTATATCTGCGCAAAAATATGAACTCGTACCCCCGCTTGATCCGTGAGAAGAATCGCGCGTTGGAACTCATCGAAGATGTTGTTCTCCCTTGCGTACTGAATGGCCATTTGGAAGTGCTTTTTGACGACGTGCGGTCCTTTTTTTGCGCTTTTGATTGTATCGTTTCTCCAAAGCATCAGGGTTGAATTGAAGCGGATTCGATCCAGCTCGTTTTTTCGGACATTCGATAGCCCCAAAGAATAAGCGTATGAACAATTAGCTCATCTTTGTCTGCACCAGAGCGTAGCGTGTTCTAGACTTATTTTAAGATTGCGCAAAATAAAAATTAATTGAAGTTTTTAAAATGCGCAGAATTATAGAGCGGCGAATGAAACTTACAGCTTGAGTTGAAGTTCCACCAGTCTTCCCAGCGGAAAATTCTCCAGCGAAATCTGCTTCAGCGGTGAGAACTTCTCTTGGGTGAACTTCGCCTGTGCAGAGCTTCGAACATAAATGCGCAGTTAGAATCGTTTGGGTTAAGTGACCAAGATCATCTCGCGCCAACTTTGTAAGTTCGATAATCAGACCCTAAAATTCTGTTAAATTTGACGAGAAAGGGATAAAACCTTAGCGGAATATGCTTTTGTTTGCGCAATATCCTTCAGAACTCCATGATCGCGCTTTCTTGCCAGCTTCGACATGATTTTTGTCTTGAAGGTCATCATATCATATGGACCCTTGTCTTCCATGATTTCCTTGACTCTCTCATATTTTTTAAGAGTCTCGGAGAAATCGAGACTTGACTCTTCAGAGCATTGGCAAGAAAAGCTGGCGCAGGAAGAGAGAAATACTCCTAGGTCTTGGTAGAGCGGCTGTTTACATCCTTTCGAAGCCATAAGAAATGTCAGCGTTTCTTCTAGAGTGAGCTTTCGCGTGGTTATTTCGAGGTGAAAAAGAAGATCGGATACTAAATCGAAGGTAAGAAACTTTTGCGCAAAATTTTGCGCAAAGTTAAAATTGGAGCTTCCTCCTAAAAATGCGCATTTACCTCTTCCACAAATATTGCGCAGGTTGTAGCACGGTGGACAGATGCATGAGAATTGATCCTTTACGCGGGGCTCAACAAACATCTTAGGTATCAGGTTCTTGAAATGAAAAGCGGAAATCTCCTCCTTGTCTTCCAACACTCGGCGCTTATTCATCTCTTCCCAGAGAAGAGTGAATTTGGTATGACAGAGACGACGACCGACGCGAATTTTGTCTTTACCGTCCTTCACGAATTCCTGGATACCATAAAGGTTGCGATTTTGAGGACTCAGAAAGACTCGGAAGAAATTTTGGACGTATTTGCGCGGAGTCGGTGCTTGAATGCTTCGAAAACGTCGGTTTCTGGGCTTTCATCGCTCGAATAAAATAAGTATTTCAAGATATAGTGGATGTCCGCATCATCAATTTTGCGCAAGCGACGGCCTTCTGGCTCCTCAATGTTATCCATATCATAAAGCTGCTTTTCTTTTAGCTCCAGCGCTTCTGCAAAATGACCTCTTGTCATGAGTTGAGGGTGGTTTTCTCTTGCGTATTTCTTCGAAATTCTATTGAAATATGAGAGATATTTCCGAACTGTTTCATCAGCGCAGCCTCCGAGAAATTCTTCTGGCAAGCAAGCTGCAAGGATCTGGATTTTTCCCTTCTTCGAAACAGAATGCCAGTGTTTCGCAATATGCGCATTGAAGGAGTTTTCAGGAAGATGAATTGCGCGTGTCTCATAGAAGATGTTCATTTGATCACTCATTTCGCGCGATACTTTCTCAACCACTTTTTTCTTCGCGCCTCCAAGATGGCTCATTGTTTCTCCAAATGATTCTCTTGTCGAATTGAGAATCTCGTTTTGTTCATCTTCATCTGTTGAATTATCAATAGTCGCTTGAGGAATAAATTCCTGACTGGAACCGGAAGAACTATGCGAAGAAGACGAGGATCGTTCCGTTTCAGAACCAGCCTCAAGTCCTTAAATGACGATAAAAATTTTGCGCAAAATTAAAATGATTACCGGCTAAGTTTTCTGTCAATGACTGCTACGACTCAAAATTTTGCGCATTCTTATTGGCGTCAAGAATCTCTTTTGCTTTTGCGCAAAAATTGTAGTGGAGGAGAAGGTACCCATCTTTATTCAGGTTTCTCTCGCCGCAAAAAGAACATGTTGGTCCTTCTTGGAACTTTACGTGATTTCTGAGAGCGGAAACATCTATCTTCTTTGTTTCTTCGAAAATTTGTCGTGTTCTCTCGCATGCATTGTAGTGATCGAGAACATCTTGTTTGATGGAACCATGAAGCACTGCTTTTGCTTTCGTAAGAGTATCGCCGCAAACATGGCATTTTCTCAAGGGTTCTTTCGACGATTTTTTAATGTCCTTGTGACTTATGAAAACCTTCAGGCTTTCGTAATTTTCGAATGGGTACTGCATTTCAGTCTGAAAGTAAATCGTATAAAAGATGCGCAATATTTCTCTTGGATACAGGCTAAAGATTTAAGAAGAGAAAACGCAATCCTCGTGGGTGCTCTGCGGAGACGATCGCGCGAAGATGATCGCGCTGGAACAAGCGCGCTGATTTGATAGGCCAGAACCAATCATCAATGAGACAGATTTGAAATATCCGTTTTTGCGCATTATTTTTAAATAGAAGTATTAATAAATAAATGCGCAAATAGAAAAATGCGCAAATATATTTGTTGCGCAAATTTATTACGAAATAATATTTGACAGGGTTAAAAAAAGGTTGGAAAAGCGATAAAAAAGGGATTAAAAAGAGTTTTTGATGTCATTTTCTTAATCTACGCCAAAAACTACCCTAAGGCGATGATTTTATTGAAAAATTTCAATTTCGAAAGAAAAGGGTTGAAAAAAGGGATGAAAGGGGTTGAAAAGTAGATGCTGACCTAGAGCTCGAGGAGACGATCATTTTCATGTATCGCATGCCCCTCTAGCTCAGAGCACGTGGAAATGCGGGCGTAGGAGCGATTCGGTACTTTTGGGACTTCAATCACGTGCGATGACGTCATTATTTCGAAATTTTCAAGATTTTTTCGGTTTTTCTAGCGTAACTTTTTACGCTCTTTCGAATGAGCCAATAAAAAAGGGGGTAAAAATTTCACTCAGAAATCCTTATCGAAAATCGTCTTTATTGATATCTTTTCTAGAAAGGTAGCAATATACCCTCATAAATTTAAGAGCTGAACAAATCAGTGTAGCTGAGTGAATAGTGATCCCGCTTAGTAAGCGCTGGGCGCGAGCTCGATTCCCCTTTTTTCTTTTTTTTCCATTCATTCGTGTGTGGTCTCTTGTTTTTTATTGAAAAAATTCTTATTCTTATGCACCATCAAATAGACAAAACACCACCAAAATTATTTTTATTTAGTTTTTCCATTGCTTTGGTCAAAAGTGAGAAAGCGGTGAGGACATTTATGGCTGAGACAACAGCGCCAATTTTTGGCCAAAAGATGTCACAGGGGGTAGAGACATCTTTTTTTCCCGGGCAATGCTTTACTTTCATCGGTAGTTTTCTCAAACAGAAGTACATTTGAGTATATATTTGAGCACTCAACTTGTCAATTTAATTCTAGGGACTCGCAATCGCAAGTGTGCTTAGATCTTGCCGTCTCTACTGTTGAGCTGAATGTTGTCACAAATAAATTCCCGAAGGCTCAAGAACTGTCTGCATAAACCCACGTTGTTATTGACCTCGACACACAGGTTGAAGATCAATCTTGGTGCTGTGCGAGAAGGTACTTTACCAGCATCACAACCGGAGATCGTCTCTTCTATGCACTCCAAAAGTCTTGGAAACGTGTTCCTTATGTCCAACAACTCTAGCTCTTCGTAAATTTTCGCTCCCAGAGCACACGTTGTTTTTGCGAGCAGCGCTTCCTGGTCATCTACCGCCTCTTCTTGCGATAGGCAAGATTTTTGAACCATTTGCTCTGCCATCCGTCTCAGACTGTACTCTTCGGATTCTTCGAGCTTTTGTATCTCTTCATTGATTGAATTCGGAGTAAGAGGTCAAAAAAAGAAAAAGAGTTCTTCCAATATTTCCAACGATTATTTTTTGGAAACAATCGAAAACTTTCATTTTCTTTGAATAGCTTTCTAAAGTGATAAAAATAATTTCAATTGGTCTTGACTATTAAAAAGCCTAAGTCAGGCCTCTGAGATAATTCGACGACTGTTAACTTAACAAAAAAAATTATATAAAAACCATGAAAAAATTAAAAATAGAGACAATATAAATTTTAACATGAGATGGAGGTGGGTTGGGTTGGGGACGAAAGGAAACATTATTAAGCAGCACTTTGGCACTCTGTTTTATGTTTGGAATTCCGAAAACAATCCGTTTGGATAACCACACTTCGTTCACGTCACCCGAATTTCAAGACGCAATCGGACGAATGAGAATCAGTCTGAGTTATACCTCTTCAAGAAATTCGCCAGCAAATGGTTGCTGTGAAAGGCATATAAGATGCATACAAGAGCATCTAAGGGTATTAAATTTGAAAAACGTATTACCTCCAAATGAAACAATTACCCAGCTAGAACTTCAAGCTCTTCTAGAATATATCTGTTTTGAAATGAACATGACGCGCAGCGAGAAAAAGGAAAATCCTATAAAAATTCTTACAGGTATAAAGCCCTATCTCGAAGTATATATTCCAGGTGAACTAAATAAAATATAAAGCTATAAAATCAAATAAGCAAGGAAAGCGGCTAGCAATTTTAAGAAAATCGATTCAAGAAAACTGAAAAAAGAAATAAAAAAAAGCCGAGAAGTACCCAGAAGGAGTGGAGCCTATATAAATTAAGGAAGGAAATTTAGTAAGCATTGTAAAGCAACCAACTCCAAACAAACCAAAACGGGAAGAACACAAATTTTCAAAGAAAGTTTACCTGGAAGTAGAAGTCTATCAGAAATATGGCACTCTTAAATATAAGAGAAAAAAGATTAAATTTCGAAGAGCGATTAAATGAAAACGGAGGTGCGAATAATCAATACAAAGAGAATAAAAGACAGAGAAGCAGTAATCGAATGTCTTAGAGGAGATATCAAGAATGAAGAGACAAAAGGAATATTACTAATATTATATTAGTCGACATAGTGCAAGAAGAAGCAGAGAGAAAAGAGGAAATAAAAGAAAAAGAGATGCGAAAACCAAGCCGAATAAATAAAAAAAATACTTTTAGGGTTGACGAACCAGGTGAAGTTAAAAAGATGACTCATTAGATCCCGGAAGATGAGGTCGATAATCCTCGAAAGACTGAGAGTGTGGGGTTGAAAAATACACTCTTCCCAATTAGCGTCAATCCTTTGACGCTCTTAGATTGTCCTTATGGTTATCCACTAGGCTATACACTTGAACCGACTATTTAACTGCTCTACTTACTGTATCTAAGACACTACTAGAACTCTCGACGGCTTCGTCAAGCTTGTCGTTTACAGTTTCTACCACTTCTTCAAGTTTCTCGATTCTTTTTCTTTCCAGTTCTATTTCGGCAGCAAGAACTGCAGCTCTTGCTCTTGATTTAGCATAGACAACACCGGTGTATACGTAGGATCCAGCTATGGCGACTCCTCCGATGACTGCACCTCCTGCCATTGCTGCGCGACGATTTCGAGTTTGCACCGGGCTTTTTGGTAGTCCATTCTTCAGGTATTCTTCAAACGTTATGGGAAAATGCTTCCTTGAACGAATCAAACGGTTGGCGTGGTCGGATAGGGTTCTTTGGGAATCCGTCTTTCAGGTTTTCTTCGTATGTCAATGGATTCTCGGGATAGGCGTTCTTGAATGAGTTTAAACATTTGCAGCCGCTTGAGTCGAGCTTGTGCTTCCAGCTCATGGTCAAATATTCCCCATGAAACTTTTTATTACCTAGTCGAATGTCCTGAATCAAGATGGCAATCCTCGGTTGTTTCGTTGAAGTCGGTTCCGTTTCGGCCTAAGAAATTTGTAGGCTTGGTTTCCAGCAAGTCGTCCTCCCCACAGTCAGCGTTGAGGGCTCTTCGAAATTTCTCTCTCGGGCTGTCCAGAAGCACATTGACTCTAACGGGAATATCGGCGTCATACAGTTCTTTTCCTCTTTTGTGGACATTTTTTGTCCCAAAATTTTCGAAAAATGTCCACAAACTTGGGCAACGTCTTCCGAAAAAATGTCCCATCGAACTCGCTTAAAATTTTTTTTCGAGATTTGAGTACGCCGAATGGTTTTCTAGACTTTGCATTTATGCTCCTGAAAGACTGACAAAGGCTCATTTGTCTCTAGTTCAACCTTAAATTTTGTTTTTTTTTTCGTAAACAATGAACAACTCGATCTTGATTAGCAAGAATTAATCTCAACACAAAAAAAATTGTCTTTTTTATTTCTTTCCGCGAAAAAATGTCCACAAACTTGGAACAGCATCTTTTATAAAGTGTCCCACTTAAAGGCCTTACAATGGAAAAAATATCCACAAACTTGGGGTCCACAAAAAAGGAAAAAAACTGTATGTCCAAAGAGGCTCGTTCTCTCGAAAAAGAACACCATAAGAATAATCGAAGGTGTAATTGTAGCTGTTAGCCGTCGAAAAAATGATTGTGAGTAATATCATTTTGGCTTGTTCTGAATCTTTGACCGCTGCTGGCTGCATTTAAAGGCTGCTCCGGCGCACTCTTTTCCGCATCATCTGTTATCTTTGTAGGTAATCGGCGGGTCACGGGGTCAGTTGAAGATCAATTTTCCGGTCGCAGTTGGTTCCAAGGTGGTTTGGTCTGTTTTTTCTCCGAAAATCGTAATTATGACGAAAATGGAATAAGTTTTTCTCCTCTGAGATCTAGTGGAAGTCACCGACGATGATGTTTAAGGGCTGTAATTGATGAAAAGTTTACAGTAGGTTCCGGCAAGTGGTTTGGGGTGGTCAACTTGAAGCGGTCTTATATATACCCTCGTGATCCCTATGATCTGGGGATTATAAAAATGTATGACTCATCACCATACGAGTTGGGAATAGGATTCTAGAGCCATTTGAAGTTCCAAAAAATGAAATTTTTTGTTTTCTCTTTTTGTTAAAAATAAGTGCCCAAGGGGGTTTTAAGGCACGCAGATTTCAAAAAATATTGTCTCAAAAGCGCCCGAGGGCATTTTTCATTGATATCAGACGAAAAATATATTTTTTTTCTTCAGAAAAATGATCAAAAACCTTCGTTATTTTCAACGCTTTTTTAACAAATTGCGTTGTGAATTCCCCCCTTCCCTGGCTTTTAATTAAATTTGGGCTTGACGGCCCGAAGGGCCGTTTCCCCCCCTTCCCTGGCTTTTAATTTTATTTGGGCTTGACGGCCCGAAGGGCCGTTTCCCCTTCCTGGCTTTTAATTTTATTTGGGCTTGACGGCCCGAAGGGCCGTTTCCCCTTCCCTGGCTTTTAATTAAATTTGGGCTTG